ATTGTCATTGTTGACCAGAAATTCGCCAAGACCCGCCCCGGAGTAGAAAAAATCGGACAACTATTCGTGTAAGATAGGCAGATAATGAGAGGGTTACAAATCTGCGTAGGTATGAAATGCAATGTAAATACACCAATGCAGTACATGTAATGCATGTAATGTGCATGTCATAGTCATATTATGTCATCTGCGCCCAGTTGCTAACACTGCGACCTCGTGTCAAGCAATAGATGGCCTCTCTGTCACCCCGTTTAAGCTCCAGTGCATTAAAGACCACCATCACCAGTTCATGACACGTCAGTATGCATCATTTTTGGTTACCTGCCCCTCTGGATGGATGAGGTGACGGATGAGCCAGGGATAGGTGATACGCGTCGAAGTGGATGGTGCTACTGTGCATACTATGCCTCATATTCTCTAAAATCGCATCATTCTGTGGCATTTACATCTACTTGCTATGTAAGACCCATGTATTCAATTAATGCCTTTTTCTCTAAATATCAAAGTATTTCAGTGCTCCAATTCCTTTCGTAGCATCCAACAAGAAATTCGGTTTCGATGAGATACAACAAAATTCTACCGATTTGTCACTTGTATAACTCATCAATTCTGTCCCCTCTTCAAACAGAGAGTTGGTGATTCTGGCGCTTTCTTTAAATTAGATCGGTATGACGCCGAGGCGTGTGAGTGTCTCAAGCAATAATGTCTATCTTTTTAAGGTGGTGGAACCAAGTAATTGCTACGGCAATGTGATTGTAAGAGAAACGTTTGCGTTTTTTGGAGCGACTATAGCTATAATTGCAGCCCTTTACTCAGTAATTACATAAATGAATAAAGCAGGCTCAATCTGATGCATTATACACAGATACTACAACCAACTGCACTTCAACGCACAATGCACGTTATTGCATTTGAGCACATTGACTAAAAGTACACTTAAATTACACTGAAAGATCAAGTGCAGACCAGATAAATAATCCTAGATGCGACACTGCACTTTGATATTTTGTAGCACAGTTTGGGAAAGGCATAACTACCTATTTACTGCTATTTGCTTCATGATGTTCGCTCCACACATGTGCTTATACAAAATGCATATTTTGTAGCCGTTTTGCATAAAACTTACTTAAATAGCAAGGGATACCATTATTACTATTATTATTGTTGTTATTGCTACTGTAATTTTACTGCTTTAACATCAGCACAACACTTCACATTTAGCTACGGAAATATTTTTTGAGCTGACAAGTGATTTAGTTGTATGTCGACGAGATAAGCTTAAGGTAAAATCATGTGAGCCATTTTCAGTTGTGTAAGGTCAATTCAAGCACTACTGTGCTTTTGTAATTTACTCTAATCCAATTAAGGGTGCACTTTGCGCACAGTTCCCATTCGAGTTGTATGAAAAATTCTGTAAGCTAATGAATAAGACTATGCATGATAAGTTAAAACATGCCTAATTTGTTTATTATTTAATGCGAGTAGTGGTAAAGTCTCTGGCGAACCGGTAAGATAATGGCCTTTGGCTGTCATGCCTCCCACCAAGTAAGCATTTCCGAACCCGAGAACGCACACCTCGGAGCTGTTTGTGTCCGTATGGTCTACAAGATTTACAAGTATAAATTTCTCTCTGTATTCATACCTCTACCCGTCCACCCATTCACCTTTCTTAGTGCCTCCCTAGACCAGTGCTCCATTGGTGCAGCAGACGGTGGAGGGTGTCGACAAATGCCCATAAAATGAACACTCGAGAAGATGGGTGTAGTGTAGGGGACCTTTTGTTAAATATGTCTTAACAAAAATTAGGACATCTTGTAGACAATGCCATTTGCTAACGTCGGAATTGCACAACTTAACTGGGGCCTCTTTAACCAAATACCCAACGTAAAAACAAATCAGAAGCGAAGGCAAAACAACGCATCATGTTTGTTAAATAAATATGGGTTACAATTGCGTGGGTAATATCTTGGTCAGGGCGGAGTTGTTATCCAGGTCACCCACAATTCTTTTGGAGATCACTGCTTGATAGGGTTCCGTTGATGGTTCTTGATTCACAGAATTCGCCAAGTTGCTCTTACAGTAGCCAGTGGAGATCAATTGAATCCACCAAGGCACAGAATGAATTTCACAAGACAATTCATCTCACCTGGCGTAGTCATTGGTGCACTTATAATAACAACGCACTAATGTTTGAAGAAATGCAACAGATTCTAAGGTGGCTGTCAGATTATCCCTATGTAATCGCAAAGGACCCAATAACATTAGCTTATGTTGTCATTATAAATGCACTGATGAATATGTCAATCCGACTTGTGAAATTCCTTCAGAGCCATGGTGGCTTCAACGTATCTCCGCTAGCTACCATCGCACACTGTGTCCATTATACCAATTCATGTCCGTTCAGTCAATATATTAATATGGCGTCATACAACAGGAATGCAGATGTGAGAATGCAGCCTAGACTGGCACAGAGACATGCCCAGAGACCGAGCAGGGGCACTCGCATGAGTGGTGGCCCCAAACCGCACTCCATGATTGCTCAATCTACGCGGACCTGTCACAAGCATGAATGGGGACACGATATTTACCTTGCATTTGAGCTCAATGGCTGTGAGGTGGGCATCGTGATAATTGAGGCGTGGGCTACTGCCTCAAAAGGATGTTGCAAGAGAAGCTTTTCTGCCACACTTACGGCTAATCGGAATACTCTGCGTGCATTGCTGTAACCTGCAGTAGCCTCTTACGATTGCGTCAGCTTGCATTGAGTTGCCCTGACCTGGTCTTTCTGATTATAGATAATCCAATGATTTGACAAAAATCATCTACAACGAAGAAGATCTCTCATTGGTCTCAAGTAAATAAGCTGAACTTTAGATTATTACAGAATTTTTGCACAATCAAAGCAGCATAGATCACTCAAAAGTTACTTGAAATATCATATCTTTGAAGGCATATATAGTGGTTTCGAATTAATCTCGGCATTGGTTAGGCATTGAAACTTTCAGCTTTGCATGCCAAAATATCAGTCACCACAATATCGGCAAAAATTGCTTTTGATGTTGGTCTTGCGACTATTCCGCATGCCTTTTGAATAACTTAGCTTACGTTGCAGCCGTTGAAGCCAAACACCACCACCACCGCCAACGTGAATAGACGAAAGTTGGGTGGATTAGCATAAGAAGTACCGAACCACTGAATTAAAAGGGCACCAAAAACCGAATGTGCACACAAAGTGTTGACTTATATAGAGATGTAGATGGCCAAATATGGTCACTAGTGAGCGAAGGCCAGTTACCAGATGTCTGTTCATGCATGTGATTAGTTGGCGTTGACCAAACGACTAGATGACCACCTCTCATCGACTGGCCATTCGAATGGGGTTCACAGCCAACACTCCTATGTGCTTGTGTTACTGATTCTAAGGTCAAGTATTTACCTTCTTCCAATATCAAAATCACGCTTTAAGTGGTAGATTCACAACTACAGTTTCTTCCGAAATAATGCTAAGTGTTCCAGGTAAGAAAATCTAGTTGTAAAACGG